AAGTTGCACTTTTGGCCATCCAGCTTTTCTGTCATGTAGACACTATGTGTGCTTGCCATTTTACACTTAGCTGTTGGGACTTTCACGATAGGGGTTGGTGAGCGTTCCTCAACACCAATCACTACTGGTTTCCCCGAGGCTGACTTACTGGTAGTATTCTTCTTACACTGGCTCTTCATATGTCCTTGCCCTCCACAGTTCCAACAACCTTTCTGGGTAGCAGCCTTTACTGCCGTGACATTTTTCCTGTGTTGAAATTGCCGGCATTGAGCTCTATTGTGCCCAGGTTTCTTACAGTGCCAGCAAAGTCCCTCAAACTTATATGAAAGCTGCCCTTTTGTGGTCTTGAATCCTGATGACTGTACCAACCTTGGTACCTCTGTGCTGGACTTAATGTAGGATTCGAATTCCAGAGCTCTGGTTATTTCATCCTGCATAGTTGAGAGGTGTGCTTGCTTGACTTGTATCTTCAGTTGTGGACTATACAAGGTGTCTACAAACTGATCTCTCAGCAACAGCTTGAGGACATCGGGTAGTGCAGTTGGTAAGCCTTCTGTGCCATACTTTCTAAAACCTGTGCCAGCTCTTGCAGGCTCTCCCCTTTAGCACTGACTCTAGTCCTAAACCCTGTCCCATAGACTTCGGACTGATTTCCATACCGGATTTCTAGAGCAGCCACCAGTGCTCTATAGTTGTGCCTGTCGTCTGCTGACAACTGTCCAAGTGTTTCCAGTGGTCGTTACTTCAAGCTCGTTGCCAGGGACACTCCTTTCTGCTCCTCTGTCCATCCATTTATTTCTGCCAGGAGTTCAAATTGTACTCTATGTGCTTCCCATGGTGCCTTCCCATCGAATTCCTGTGGCTTCCTTCGTACTAAATCACCCCTATTGCTGACACGTATGTCTGGAATGTGACTTCTGGCAGGACTGAAGATGTCTGCATTAGGGTTTAGCTACAGGGTCTGGAAGGGGCTTCCTATTGTCTGGGGCTGATGAAATCCATGGCTAATATATCCTCCCTGTGTAAAAGACAGTAAGTCGTGCATTAATGTATTTAATTCACCTTGACATTTACTAATATTTTCCATTTGTACTTCATGCTAATGTTGTACTCTCTCTCCTTGTTCTTCTTGCCACTGTTGCTGACTTTCCCACAAGTGTTGGAGACTTCCTTCCTGTTTCTTTTCTTGTTCCAGTTGCCACTTTTGCTGGTTTTCTTACCACTGATGTAGTTTCTGTTCTTGTTTATTTTCTTTCTCCTCCAATCACTGCTGTAGTCTCTGTTCTGGTTTATTTTCTTTCTCCTCCAATCACTGCTGTAGTCTCTCTTTTTGTTTATTTTCTTTCTCCTCCAACCACTGCTGTAGTCTCTCTTCTTGTTTATTTTTTCCCCTCCAACCACTGCTGTAGTCTCTCTTCTTGTTTATTTTCTTTCTCCTCCAACCAATGCTGTAGCCTCTCTTCTTGTTTATTTTCTTTCTACTCCAACCAATGCTGTAGCCTCTCTTCTTGTTTATTTTCTTTCTACTCCAACCAATGCTGTAGCCTCTCTTCTTATTTATTTTCTTTCTCCTCCAACCAACCTGCTGTAGCCTCTCTTCTTTATTTTCTTTTTCCTCCAACCACTGCTGTAGCCTCTCTTCTTGTTTCTTTTCTCGTTCTTCTTGTTTCTTTTCTTTTTCCCCCAACAACTGCTGTAGTCTCCTTTGTTTATTTTTGCTGTTCGAGCTGCCACTGTTGCAGGTTTTCTTGCCACTGCTGCTGTC